GACTTGGGTATACTCCTTGGTGATATTCTGTAGTTTTTAAACTCTTGGCTCATGCTTGTTGCAGAGAAGATGATTGTTTTTACAGTCAGTATATTTCCTTGACTCATCTTTGTGTGGGATGATTGTTGAAAGGAGTAGAATTAGTTATTTGCTGAAGAATGAACCAAGATAGCATCATGTCCTAATACAGAACATAAGGTGGTTGAAACTGTTTCCCAAACCCCTAGATCACTTAGGTTGCTTACATAGTCATCATTCTGTCATTAGAATTGCTGTTTATCATTTATCATTTTGGCTTAAAGTTCTCTTGGGAAAATATGAACAGAGTAAAAGTTAAACTGCACTAGGCTTGAGTTCAAGAAGTGTGGTGCTGTATTCACTTTCAGAATGTCTTGTTTTACTGGAAGATAAAGTCTTGTATAGTCATTTCTTTTACTTGACATAAATGCTCCAAATTAAAGTATATTTGATGGACCTGCTCTTATACATATACATTTGCTTTACCTAATATCTGTACAAATAGGTGAAATTGCCCATGTTTGAATGTGCATATGAATGTGCACACGTTTTCCTGTGTGCATGTATGAAAAATCAGGACGGTGTTGTACATATAGTACTAGTAAGAAGCATTCTAGCTGTTTTATCATAAATCAAAGACTTCAGTAGCAGGAACCTGTAAGGAATGTGATTGAGTCATCCAGGGGAACATGATTCATTACCACACCACACATAAAGAACATGTAACTAGAGCAGAAGATCAGGCATGCAGAAGAAGATGAATATTGACAAGTTGTGGTTAAAAGTCAAACCGGTTCTCTTTCAGTGCCATGATTATAGCATCACAAAAGGTTATGTCTGGATGAGTAACACAAACAGACAATGCACATCCAATCCTGTGATTATTTGAACCAATCAACCACCTTGTTGGAAATAGACAGATGGTTCAAATCATTTTAGATTTTTTTACATAATATTTTCTCTTTATTTGGTTTCAAAATAAAAAGAGGGATGTACAAATTGTAGTTAATATGAACATTCTGTGAAATAAATAAAAGATAACAGAGAATTATTTTGAATAGTCAACCTCTCTTGTTGCAGACAGGATAAGGTTAATTGACCAAAATATGTTTCTAAATTGAAAATTAATTCTATGCAGTTCAGAAAATTATGCTGAAATTTCTATTTTTGAAAAGAATCAAAGTAAGTCATTGAGCAGATTTGACATATTGCAAAGATAATTTTTAAAAATCTTTCCACAGAATCTCAGTCCAGTACTGACAAAGATGGCCAAAGAAGTGGACCTGAGAGAGAAGGAACTGACCCATCAGGTTCACAGAGAGATGCTGGTCAGGTCTCTGGAAGAGGTCAAAGCCTTGACACCAGTCCTCATCAGTGCTGTCAAAATATTTGTATCCACTAAGAGCCAAGGTAATGTTCCAATATTTTTATGAAGATCCTTTGCAGAAATTCTAAGAATAAAGATTATATTGCATATTTTAACCATTACCCCCGTGAAATATGCTGCAGATTGGATAGTTTCTAAGTTAAGCAAAATGAAGCCACAGTGCATCCTTGAATCCATTTATGTATAAAGGACTGGTATGTCCCCGTCCGGGGACATACCAGTCCTTTATAAACGGTACCTGCTGTCTCCCCGCTTGGCACTCAGCACTTTGGGGTTGAAGCAGGGTCCTGGTCAGGCAGAGAACGATATTGTAAGTTTGATAGCACTCAGCGCCTCACACGGCAGCGGGGCTCTATCCTCCCCAGGGAGGCGAGATTGTGTACACAGCGTGTTTTGACCAGTTGTATACTTGTTATATGTATGTACATATTTGTTAAGTCTAACGAACATATTCATATGGAGTTTAGACTAAAAATAAATGTATTATTATTATTATTATCCTTGAAATGTGTAATTGTTTGAAATCCACACATATTATTTGATGTTGCAAATTTGAGATGATTTGGTCTGTTTCGTATTTCAGGTGCTGGTGGTGTAAAAGAATCTCAAGGAAACAGAGATTTTGTAGTTCGCAAGCTGTGTGATGAAATCAATGAAATAATCCGTGTGCTGCAGCTGACCACATATGATGAGGATGAGTGGGAGGCAGATGATCTTGCTGTCATGAAGAAAGCACAAGTAAATACATCAAATATGTTAGCTTTGCCACACAGTGCATCACAAGTTAAAACTTGTATTTAACCCCATGCATTTAAATAAAGAAAGAATCCCTTCTTATTTATGTCCAAGTGTTTGTATTTTGTTAAATATTGTTTGATGGGTCTTAGGTTTAATTGATTGTTTTAATTACCCAGTGGCATTGAGTTTGTAAGTATTAAAAGCTTCCAAAAACTTACTTATGTTGAAACAAGATTATAAAGATATTGCACTTCATTACATAGAATGCTATTAGTGGGAAGATGAAGCAGGCCTCTGACTGGTTGTTGGATCCTTTTGGACCAGCAGGTGGTGCTGGTAAGTGAACATCTGCTGTGTGAATGGCAAGTTTATTTCAGAAATGTCATATATTGTGATTTTACTAAAAAATGCGAATTTTTTATCATTTCAGATTGTTCTAGAATTATAAAATGCAACTCTTGTTTTAAACAAAAAGCAAAGACTATTATTTCTGATATCAGTTGACTTTTCATCTTAGGTGAGCAGGCAATCCACCAGATGTTGGAGGATGCCATGAAGGTTGCTGACTGCTGTGCCAACCCAGAAGACAGAGAGGCCATTGTAAAAGCTGTAGGTGACATACAGTCAATGGTGGATGCTCTCTCTGAACTCAGGGCACAAGGAAAGGTAGATGTGTAGATTTTTTTACTTGATCAAGAATATTTAATTGAAAGAACTCTTTATCAAAAGGCTTGAATTAAGTTTGAATTAAGCTGGTTATCTTCTCAGTAGCCATGGCATTATGATTTTAATTTAAATTGCTTTTGTTTCCTTGTGAGTTTGCTCCACTAACCTGCAGTAACAGGGCAAATTCTTTTTCTGAATAGGTCCTGTAACTCACTTATATCAATTTTGCCGTTTCACATCAGAAATTTCTCTGTGCATCACAAAATTATGTTTGTGTATCAAATCACATGTCACTGACTTGATGTAAAACATGTTTTGAGTGCCCCCACAATAATCTCTTTTTCTAAGTCCAGATAAACTCAAATATCTGCTTTGCTTTCTGTTTCTAGGGAGATACCCCTCAAGCAGTGTCACTGGCCAGAGGCATCCAGCAGAAACTAGCAGAGCTTCAGCAGAAGGTCAACAAGGCCGTGGCCAATCAGGAAAAGGCTGAAGTTCTCAAAATGGCGCACACTGTGGCAGGAAAAGTGGACCAGGCTCAAAGATGGCTGCAGAATCCTGCCCTCAATGATGGTGGTCTTGGTAAGAAGAAGAATGGATATTTTTTCATATGTGATGACAGTAAATGATTATATTTGAGGTTCTAGATGTTTTCTGCACTTGTGTTATCATTTTTCCTGACTAAAATTAGCATATCTGAAAAAATAAACAAAATCATTAATTTTTTTATGAGAATGTTAACCAAATGACATCAAATAGTGCACATGCAGGCAAGGTTATTCTTAATGTCTCCTTTTATTTGTCCTTACTTCAGGTGAGCAGGCTGCCCGCAGCGTGGTGCAGGAGGCGCGAAAAGTAGCTGATCTTTTGGAAGGCACTGAAAGGACTAACCTTCATAAACTCTGTGATGAGACTGAGAAACTGACCAATCAGCTAGCAGATCTTTGCAGAAAAGGAATGGTAAGGAAAATTGAAGGACCTTTTGTGGCTACACCAGTCACAGTATTCAAAAAGGATATATTTACCAGCCGGGAGTTATATGGCCCAGGGTACTATTACTGTGAATACAAGGTTATGTATGATAAAATCAGCAAATATACAACTATCACTAAACTGAAAATTTCTGTTACAGGGCAACAGTCCCCAAGCAAAAGCCATTGCCAGGAATTTGTCTGAAAAACTCAATGAACTAAAGAACAAAGTTTCCAAGGCCCTGGTTCAGAAAGTGGCAGACGACTTTATGGACATCACAACTCCTCTCAAACAACTTACTGATGCAGCATTAGCTCCTCCAGGTAATTTGGTTTTGGAAAAACAATTGTACAGCCCTAATTAAACAGCTTACTATAGTGCATTGACTAAAAGTATCCTTGATATAATTCTTCTTATGACCAAAGGCTTTCAAATGAAATGAGACATTCAGAAAAAAAGCTATTTAAAAATATAGGATACAATCAGGAAAAATTTCTATCAGGAATGGGGAGAAAAAGATTCCATAATGAAATTGAGGTTGTTTTATCTTTTTACCTTCTGAAAAGCTTTATTTTGCTCAAACTTTACAAACCTTTAATTAAGCCAAAAACAGTTTAGGATAAGAACTTGGTTAACACAATACTTATTAATTCAAATTTGACTCCCAGGCATGCCAGGCAGAGAAGAAAACTTCCAAGACAAGGCTCACAANTGTGACCTTCAAATTGACCTTTGACCTACTTATAATCATGAACTGAACTCTGCTAATTTCTTTCTCTTTTAACTCCAAACCTGGCAGAGATAGGTCCATAGTTACTATTGAAGTTGAATAGGAAGTCATATACTGGCAATTTACTGCGACCTTGAAATTGACCTTTGACCTACCTTACGATGAACTTAACTTTGATTGTACCATTTTAAGTTATATATATTTTTTGCGTATTTTGAAAATTCTTGTTGATTGCATTTTTATAGCTTGTCAAGCATAAGACTGGTGGCTGTGTCCCTTATTTTGTGTATGTGGGGGTCTATACGAATGCGCTTGCTCCAGCTGGTGGTACAATATTCGGAGGCGGTATCGCCTCTCTGATCCTCTAGTTCTTCTTATGACCAAAGGCTTTCAAATGAAATGAGACATTCAGAAAAAAAGCTATTTAAAAATATAGGATACAATCAGGAAAAATTTCTATCAGGAATGGGGAGAAAAAGATTCCATAATGAAATTGAGGTTGTTTTATCTTTTTACCTTCTGAAAAGCTTTATTTTGCTCAAACTTTACAAACCTTTAATTAAGCCAAAAACAGTTTAGGATAAGAACTTGGTTAACACAATACTTATTAATTCAAATTTGACTCCCAGGCATGCCAGGCAGAGAAGAAAACTTCCAAGACAAGGCTCACAAATTTGACCAACATTCTAAGCAGCTGGCCAACACGGCCAGGTTGGTGGCAGCGGCGGGTGCAGGGGACAACAAAAGACAAGTGGAGGCCATCAATTCCACTTCTCAGCAGGTAGGGAGAGAGTGTCATTTTTTTATGACAAGTTTAGAGAAACACTTAAACAGTAGAAGAAATAAATATCTTTATTTTCTCTGGTCTTTTAAAGCAATAAATAGCAAGTGCCATCAGACTGGATGAAAATCCACTTGCCTCCATTTTTTTCTTTTTCAATTTTATGCAATTTTATATGCCTGGCAAATTTTTGCTTGGTATAAGTGGTAACATTTTATTCTGAACATATATTTTGTATTCTAGCTTGATAGCAATGAGCAGAATTGTCATATTAAAAAGAGAGATTGATGATTTTGTGGTTATTTTGTAGTCTTAATACAAAATGGTAGAATTCTCTTTGAAATATATTGCCTTACTTAACACAAACTCAGCTGTTTCAGAACATATAAACCATTCAAATTTCAGATCAATGATCTCACACCCCAAGTGATCCAGGCAGCCAAGGTTGTCCTCCTGAACCCCCAGAACCAGGCAGCCCAGGAAAACTTTGACCTCATGAAGAAACAATGGACAGACAATATGGAGAAACTGAGAGGGCTGGTAGATGAGGCTACAGACACTGTGGCACTGATCAAAGCAGCAGGTGAGACAGATTGTGTTAATTGCTTTAGGTGTGACTTAGAAATGTTGGGAAAACAGATTGTTTTGAGCAGTGATGAGAGGCATCATTACTGGAGATGTGACTTAGAAATGATAGGACAACTGCTACAATTTGATTACTTTCTTTACTGCTAGAAGATATTGGTTGTTTTTAAAAAAGAAAATTAATAAATTTTAGATAAGTCTTTTTGTCATTTTGGAGGCAAACTCTGGTCATATGTTGCCTAATATTATGGAGAATTTTTGAGGCTCAAATTCTTTTCCAGCAAGCAAAAAGTGTTTGAATTTATATATAGCCTCAGTTGTATTGAAAATGATAATCATGATGGTTTCAGAGGAGGGCATTCTCAGAGACACAGAGAAGACAGAGAGTGCCATCAAGAGGGGAGATGCCCAGGGCATAGTTAGTAACACTTCAAACATAGCTCGTCTGGCAAACCGTGTGGTACAGGCTGGCGAAAAAGAGGCAGAGAACAGTGAAGACCCTGCATATGTGCAGAAAGTTGGCTCTGCCACTGAAAACCTTAAGGCCAGTAAGTGTGACTAATGTGATTGCATATTTTATGGTAGTCATTTCTTGCTATGAAAATTTGAGTCAAAACCCAATTGACTTCAGTCACCACATATTCTTCTGCACACATGTTCTATCTTTTCTCACTCTAAATCCAGATAGAATTTGACCTCCATGATTATGTCTATTTTCCAGGCATAGCCCCCATGGTGAGGGATGCTAAGATTTTAGCCTCCAATCCCAGAGATCCCAGTGCTGCAAACAATTGGAGGGCCTCAAACAATAGGGTAAAGTGCCTTTACTGGTCTTGGTTGAATTATATTTGTACTATTTACTTTGGTTATGTATGATTATTTTAACACTCCCTTTAATATGTGGTGTTTATCACATTTAGATCAATTATGAAGTGTACTTTTTGAAGTACAAACATCATCAGCTACATGTTTGTTTCTGAAAGTAGTTTGATTAAAACTTATCCATATTTCATAAGACCCCAAAGTGTTTTAATTGTGAAGTCATTTGTGTTAGTAGTGCAATTATATCAGAACATGATAATTATAATTTTGGTGATTTATATTTCAGCTAATAGATGGCGTGCAGGGTGTTCGTGGCGTGGTCGAAGAGGCAGAATTCCCTCCACCTCCAGATCTGAGTCAACTCCGTCTAGGTAGGATGAGGTTCACTTGCGATATACTATCATATCATTACCCTGATTTGTTTCAGAGATGACATTGGTGATGATTTCATTCCATATTGCACAATGATTGACATTGTAAATATATATATATATATATATATATATCTTGCTGCATCTTGAGCTGATATGGTTGCATATATAGAACTAGTGTAGATGTTTGCAGTGAATACATGTAGATGCTTTTAATATGCATTTGACATAAGAGTGCAGTCTTACATGTATTTATATTAGAATCACTTCTCCTTTATTTTTCATCCAATTTTATTTAGTGAATAAGGTTATGGTGTGCATTTTGTCTGCTATAATGATAAATGTATTATTTGCTTACATTATATATACACTGTATTTATACTGCTTTAAGTAATGTCTTGCTGCACATCTTTCTGTCAGAAAGGCAATAACTGTGAGCTTGAGTGTGAAAATAAGATATAGAAAAAATAATAAAAAAGGACCAGAAGTTTTTGATTGAAAAATACTTTGGATGGCATGCATGATTAAGTTCACTATTTTTGATTGTTATTCATCAAATCAGATCAGTCAGGTGGAAATTTTTTCAGTTGCTCACAATGACCTCTAGCTAGTGGCCTTATAGATGACATGTACAATAGAAAAAAGGGTTAAATGCATTTTGACCAGTTGCATTTTCACACTGAAGCTTTGTTATTGTTTTACACCAAGAACTTGCTATTTGCTATTATGAAAAATAGATAAAACTATCATTAAATAACATAGATATAACATACATAACATCTGCATTATATTGACAGTCCTTAGAACTTCTTATAACTGCACCATAAATGGCACATTAGCAATGATATTTTAGAATCTCCAATACTAGCAGACCCAGAGTTCATGAAAATATTTAACCTGGATCCAGAAAGAGTTTACTTTGGTTCTGGCGGCCATGATGTACCAGATCATAGCAATGTAACACAAGGTAGAGAGTCTCATTTAGAATTCCTTTTGAAGTCTTCTCATTATCACTGAAAACTGTCTCCCACTTGTAAAATAGTAGTTATTGAGCTGCTTTGAAAATGAAAATCCAACATAGCATGCATTTTAAATATGTTTTCTTAATGCATTGCTTTGTACTTAGGCTACCTGACCTAACATTGCAGTTACTTATATTGTAAAGTTCTACCTCTAATCTTTTGTACAGAGAATCTTCAATCATCTCAAATTCGTAGTGATCCTTTTCTAATTCATATCCAGCCCAAAACATTCCATTTCTGATCCAATATTGATTTAAGATTCCATGTATAAAGCATGCATTTTATACATAGCTTTTGAGCAAAAGTACTCCAACCCCTTCTTTTAGAGAGTATTTTGTTCTAATTTTGAAGGAATTGATGAGCCTACCCCCACACTTGGGGCTGAACCAGGTAGTTTTTTAATACCATGTATGATTTTGGAAAATTTTGATTTATTAACTGATTTAGGTTGCAGGGGTGTTTTCAATCAAAGGGTACATATAAACAACAGGCATTCAGCAAATTGAAATATTTTCTGGGCTCAGTAGTATAGCTCATGCACTTATTACAGAATATCTTTACTTTTCATCACAGCTATTGATTTAATCCAAAATAATACAGTTTCGAATGTTTTGCTTTCCTGACACATATGTTTTACTGCTATTATTATCATTGCACTTCTGCTTCTTGAGTTGCTGTTTGTTTTTATTTTGTCGCAGATTTTGCTTTAACAGCAACACCAGTACAGCCGCTTTATGCACAACCTTATCAAGGTATACACTGTAGACATGGAAATATGGTTAGAAAGACTAACTGGCATGATCTTGGCTTGAACCATCACCATCTTGTTTAGTCTGTATTCTAACTGAAAGAGTGCATGGCCAAATTAAATACTTACACCAAAACGGTTCAAAATTGATTATCTATTGGTTCTAACCAGGATCAAATCAGGTGTTTAGAAAACAGGAGAGTAGCAATACAGAAACAATTTGCCACAAATTCATTTTACACAATATTGATTAATTATGCCCAGAACAAGTGCCATACTCCAGACTTTTCGAAATAAACTGTTTAGATAAGAACTAGTGATTCACTGACTAAAAACAATATTTTAAGGCAAATTTGAAAAAGAAAAATAATTTGTGGAAAGGTGAATTTGTGGAAATTTGGAAATAATTTGGTGTTTGGGGAAAATCATATGAATCTGTGATTCATGTTTGGTGGATTAAGATCTCCAGGAGTTTTACCTTTAGTGAGCAACTAGAGATTTGCATGTATTGTAGTTACAGGGGTGTGGAAGGAAATTGCTTGATTTTCTGTCTAGACAAATAGTAACTTGAGAATGTTTCCAACATAAGTTTAACTTAATATAGACTATTAAATTGTATTAGACAGCTACGGTTTTTCTGTTTTGAAATAGTTATTGCTCTTATTTGGTTCATTTAAATTACAAATTGGGAATCTGATTCCTTTAGCAAGAAAATTGTATGTTGTAACTGTCTTGAAATAGATATTGTTGTTTAGTATTCCAGTTGTAAGTAGAAACCCTCAAGTGCATACTTTTAATAGAACAAGTTGTGCAGTCAGATGTCTCTTCTGTTAAAGTGCCTCTGGTTGGAGTCAAAGTACTTTTAGTATGTCCCTAAAACCTCACAGTGATATTGTACCAGTGCAGTGCTCTTTTTATGATATCCTGAATGTTTCTTGTTTCCAAGTGTCCAATATTTGTATATGTCATGTATGGGTATGACATCAATAACACCTGTGCATTGTGAATGTTTTATGAGTAGATTTTTTTTTATAGTTGTGAACATATTTTGATGACATTCTCTTCCAGTGTATCCAAAGTCAGACTCGAGACCTGATCCTGATTCCCACGAAATGACTAACAATAACATAGATGATGCACATAACATTGTTACTGACAGTAACAGCATGGTTGATCATGAAAACATCAGTGTGTCTGATACTGATGATGAAGTTGCAGCTGTTGCTGCTGTTGGAGATGCCAACGCTAACAGTGATGCAAATGGAATCCCTGATGAGGGTATAATATATAAATGCTTGTTATTACTTTTAATGCATGGAAGGTCTAAGATTACAGGGATTCAAGTGGTGGCAGAGGCAGCAGCTGATATTATCTGTGATATATTCATTCTGTGGTATCAAATGTATGTTTACGGTACAAGTTATCCTCTCTTTAGCCTTGCCCCAGTTTGAAGTATTTTCAAGATGAGTGCATGCTTTTTCCTGTTTTTTTTTCTCCCTGATTTCCTTTTGGCATCTTTTCCTTTTTTGAAGGGTGTTTATACTTGGTTTAAGATATGTTGTAGATCAAATTGAAAATCTGTGATAACAGGTTTATTTTAACATTTGTTTAACAACATGTTTAGAGGCAGTGCAATAGTAAATGTTTTTCTTTTGTTTCCATTGTAACAATTACCTGTTCTGTTAAATGTCACTGACTATTGGTGTCTTGATAATTATGTATATCTGTATATACACATTTTTTTTTTGTTTAATAACCTACATACACTTTCAAGAATAATTTGGTCCACTTTTAATTTTTTCTGATTGTCATAACTGACTTCAATCTCCAGGTGCTCCCAACTATGGTTCCCAGTATCCACCGCCGCCTCCACCTCTTCCATCTTCCATGCTGCAGAGAGAAGGTTTGCCACTTACTCTTTCTGCATGCAGATATTACACGGAGCATGCCACTATTTAGTTATATACAACTGAACTTTGGATAGGGTCTTCTAGTACATTTTAATCTTTTTATTTATTTATTTATTTTTTTTTTTTTTTGGTATCAAATGATGTTTTTTGCACGTAACCCATTACATATTGCATGTTTGTTTTCAGTGTATTCATTATAGTTATGTTACATCACATCAAGTTTTGATAAGTCTATGGATTACATAGAATAAGAAGTAGGAATATGTAGAATTAATTACTGGTAGATTGAAAATATATCTGTATAAATTATATGTTATATCAAATGCCACTGCATGTACAACTATACCATGTACTGTTGTGGGAAGATACACTCTAGAGTCAAGCATGTTTACTTATTTCTAAGTGCCACCGAAAATTTATCTTGGCTGAAGAAAAAATTTAAAAAAATAACTGTTTTGATTTGTAATTGTGATTCAGACATGCGTATTCAGCCTCATGTCTAAAACAAAATGTTTGTTAGAGTGAATAGAGCATAGTAACAAAATAAAACTACCTGATACTTGCAATCAAGGATTTACTAGTGCAAGTAATTTGAAATCCTTTTTATAGAATTAGATTAGTTATTTCTAGATAACCATATGCAGAACTTTTCACATACTTTTCATGTTTCCAGTAAACTTCAATAAAACTGGGCAGTGGAAACCACAGGTTACAAAGCAGACATGGTTTTTCCTTCAGAACACTCCACAGTATTTCATCTCTGTGATTTTAAGTACTACAGATATATCTGATGATGAATATTTTGATTTCTTTTCTTTTTTTAGCACCTCCCCCTCCACCACCACCACCACCTCCATCAAAACCCAGGGAAGGTACAAGAATTCACATTCTTTGCACACCAGTTTGACTATTCTGTTGCTTGAAGGGAATCATGTTTTGGTTCAAAGTTATGAATTGTGCATGGTCATTATTGAATTTTTTTGTGCCATATTGGCAAAACTGGTCCAAATGTACATATAATGGCAGGTTGGATATTTTTGGGAGGAGTTTTTAATAGAATATGTTTTTACGAATTCTTTGGAAGAATTATTGCTTTTGTACTATCAGAACTGTTTTCAAGATTTGAAGTGGTCATTGTGATAATTTTTTGCAGCCCTTTGATTATTTTTGAATGATTTCTCTGGGGGATTTATTGATCAGTAGAAAAAATAATTTGTTACAGGGACTAGTTATGAATCAAACAGAAATTGCATTTTTGAGTTGAAAATAGATGTAATTATGTGGGATTATGAATGGGGAGGCTCTTTCAATAGTGATGGTTTATTTTGGAGACCATGGAAAGTTGTTCTTAAGTGACACTGCAGTGTTGGAAGGAGAAAAGTGGCAAAATGACTCTGACCAATTATGGAAATGGTCTTTATTACATAATACATTTTACCAAAAAGTTATTGAGCTTTTACTGATGCTCAAAACGAGAATGTCATTATGTTACTTGGCTCCAAAGAAGTGCATTGCCCCTACATAAAGATACTTGCAACTGAAACAAATTGGTTTTATATCACAAAATTGTAAATTTGCTACAGCTATTCTTAGAGGACGATTGGAGCTAGTGCTTGGATATCTCCTTACATATCATTTTGTTCCACACTCTCCCTATTTAGCATGTAGTATTTGTTTGATTTCAAGAGAATGTAGGCGTTTTATTGAAGTTAACATTGCCAGTGAACATAGCATCAGGATATGTTGTTTTACATTATGTAGCTATATCCATATGTTATTTCTGTATTATAGCACCTCCTTCTCCCTCATTTCGGAAGCCTGGTCCTCCTGTAGCTCCTAACCCTCCGGGACCACAACAGCTTCACAGAGATCTTCTCGATGAGCTTATGAAGAGAGGTTTTGATAAAAAAAAAAGAGAAGAGTTACACCTGCTAATCCAACTGTTGTGTGTCTTTGGTTTGCTTCCACCCATGATTGGTCTCCTAAAATTGCTTTTAAACTGCCAAAAATTTGCTTTTTAGAAATACACCACAAAAAAGAGTGGGTTGAAGTTATTAAGTATGATTGAGACAAACGTTACCATTAAACAAATTAATCAGGAAAATCTAAAGGAAACATTACATTAAATATTATTTTTCTTGTAAAGAAACTTATTAAGAGAATTCCTGGTGAATTTGGATTATTTTCAATTCTTTCAACACAGCAATAGGACATTAGCAGGGATATCTGTTTTCTGGACTGACTGCAAGTCCAACATGATAATTGTTTGGATTGACTCAACATACTCTACCCAATCCCATTTCCCCTTTTCATTCAACCTAGAAAAAATGCATTTCATACTGAGTTGTCATTATCCAGCCATACCTGAGTTTGAAGTTCAGGCATCGTTCTTTGTTGATAACGATAGATGTGTGCAGTCTTGTAGCATGCTGGTGCAGACTTAACAATAACCTCTCGGCTCCATGGGATATTAGAATCGATCATTGGCTGCCTGTGGTGATAATAGAAGTGACTTTACCTGAAATAGTTTCTTTTACTTGGCATGGGATTGCTTTGTTCCATAATTTTTTTACTGAGAGCACCACTTGTTAGAATTTTTCTAACCAAGAGTTGTCTGCCATTATTTTTTGCTCCTGAATTATGCTAACTGCCTGACTTGTGGGCAATGCTGTGGTTTCACAGGAGAGAGATATTGCCTGTGTTCTTCTTGCTTCAAATGAACCAGGTGTGAGCATGACAAATACTTTGCATACGGGTTCTTGTGTTTTGTTTGTTTCATTTCACATCTTCATCTTAATACTTATTTATTCAGTAGAAACAATCACACAGAGAAAGTAGATAAGCTTCATAGTCTGTCAGTAAAGGTTTATCTCGCCAAGGGAAAATAATTTTGCAGGAACCCAGATAAGAAGACAGATGCTGATAATTGAACCAAGAGTACCATATTCAATGAGCCTAACATGTTCATGGCATTTTGTTTTACAGTCAGGTCACATCCCCTGTCTCCCACAGCTGATAGGAGACGCCAGCCATATCAGGATCCAGATGTACTAACTAATTACATTAGGCGACCTACATCTCCCCCAGCACACCAAAGGCGTCCCATGTCACCCCCTGCACATTTTAGGCCTCCAACGTCACCACCTCCAGGTAGACGTCCCATGTCACCACCTCCAATAGTTAGACGTCCTATGTCACCTCCGCCTGCCGTGTTCAGACAGGCCAGGTCACCACCACCTGTACCTCCTAAACCCATGACACCACCAGTGGTGCGAAGGCAGTGGGTGCCTTCACCACCACCACCGTCGCCACCACAGGCACTTCGGGCACCACAAGCAAGGCAGGCACCCCAGGCACAACCCTTCCCACAGTCTTTAACACAGAGGCCAGGCTCTCCCACTCTTCATGTTATAAAGAGAACAGGTTCGCATAACATGTTCTGCATGAGGAGTGCACAGTGTCCTTGACCTTTCATGACCTTTTTTTTTATGCCACCCATGGTATATTGAAGTTGAGGCTGTGGTGTTTCTGCCTGCGTCTTGTTTTGAGAGTTCACAGTGGCTTTATCCATGAAATGTTTTCCATCGTCATCACTCTCATTGTTAGAGAGTATGTGTGGCCTTGTGTTTGAGATGACCTCATTCATACTGACAGTTGTGTATTGACAGTTCACGATGGCTTTGACTTCACAGTGGCATTAACCTTGAAAAGTCACAGTGTCAATGACTTAAAATGTACTATTGTCCAATATGTTGCGTCGCCCAAACTTTGACCTTTGCATTGCCGCCATGTGTTTACGAACTTCAAATGTGTCATTTTCTTTCAGGTTTTTTTTGTCTGTAGCTGATGCATGGTCACATGGTGGCAGGCACTATTAAATCCAGTGGTTTGTACCAGGCAACCTTTACTGACACCACCATTATTGATATGCAGTTCTCAAATTTGTGCCATGTTAAGCATGTGATTCTTAACATGTCAAACTTGTTGATGATGATAATTATTCTGCTATTTGAATTTCACTGTAGCTGGCATATTATGTTGATTTGATGTAAAGAATGTTTCTTCATTGTTGCTTTTTGCAGATGTTATCACTCCAATTTACAGTATTTATCAAATGATAAAACTTTGAAAATTGATCAAGTTGTTGTTTGTAATTTAACTTCCAGCTTTTTTTTTCATCAGAATGATTCAAGATAAAAATGTTTTATTATTAATTTTATTAAGAAAAATTACTGTTTAATGGTATTTTTCACTGAATAGGTCAGACATTGGGTAAGTATCTGAAACATTATGAAAGTGAAATAACTCCAGCTGTGTTTTTACCACATTGAAATAGTATTGTGCAGCATGAAGTTCAACCCTGCATGCAGCATGTCATCATTCTTCAATGAAAAAGGTTCCGTTTTAATATTTTATGTTAAAATTACTTACAGATGCCCCTCCCAGACCTCCCCTCCCACAAGAGAGCGTGCCCCCAAGGCCACCTCCTCCAGAGACAGATGATGAGGATGAGGAGACATTTGAGAGACGTTATCCAGAGCCCCAAGCCAATCAGCCGATTATGGTATGGTTGTTGTTTATGTAATAGATACACCACAATTAGGTCAACAAGATGTACGTGTTAAACATAAATGGATGTCATATGCACCATGCTGAGGAGAAGTGTATTTGATTTATATTATGTTATATATGAAGAAAAAAAGACCTATGCATGTCATGTCTTGCATTCATGTATGATGCACATGTGTAGGATACCATGTCTTGATTTTTTTTCTTTGACATCCACCATAGTATTAGTTGAGTGAAAGGTTGTTAATCTGCATTTTTTGTTGGATTAGTATGTGTGGACAGAATCTGTTGATTTAGGTGAAATTGTTTTGTGTAGATGCAAAAACTAAACATGAAAACTGTATTTGTAAACTTTGTTTCCTCTTTGCAGTTGGGGATATAGAATCAAAATTGTGGTTTGCCTGGTTCATTTTATTTTCATGGTCATAAACAGGTTGAGGCGATCCACTCATTGTCTTATTTCTATAAGTGACATTTTTATTAAGGCTGTCCCCTGGTACATAGTTCTGACCTCCCTCTTTTGGGTTATCCATCATTTTAGCATCAGGCCTACGTTTTGTATATTTTCTTTCACAAACACAGATTAATGAGATGTTTCATGAGTGCTTTGTTGTCTGAAATCTAATTTTTGTTGGTATCTTGTGCTGATGTAACAACACCATTAGCCATGTGCAAAAAAAAAAAAAAAAAAAAAATTGTTCTCCCAAAAATGCTTATTACATAATATATTGACATTTATAACTGATGATCAAAATGATGATGTTGAGAAAAATTGTTGATAACGCCAAGACCATTCATCTTTTATGTGATCAAAACCTTTTGTTTGATCCCAACAGCATTCCATCTATACTTTTTCTGATATGTGATATTTTAAACTTAGAATTTCTCAACCCTTTTAGATACACGTTTGTACCAACTATGATGTAAAATGGCACGCTCTCTCTCTCTCTACAGATGGCTGCCCATGCTCTACATAGGGAAGTCAAACAATGGTCCAGTAAAGACAATGAGATTATCGCTGCAGCTAAAAGGATGGCAATGCTTATGGCGAAGCTCTCTCAGCTTGTCAGGTTAGTGACATAAGCACTTAAAAAAAAATGTACTCGTTTTGGATGCTTTTACATCATCATTATGTGTTAAGAGCAAGCTATATTCCCCTTAGTGTAAATGTTACACATCGGTAATGTTATCAAAGATACTTTGTTATTGCCGTTTAAATAATTTAATGTTTGCAGATGATGTGGAATAGTGGTGGATAAAAGCTTTCTTATATTAATGAACATTTGTGAATACTTGTTGATGACTGATCCTTTTCAGTTCAGTGATTTTCAGCTTTTAAAGTTTTTTTTGTAAGTGAAACAGCGTGCACATCAAGAACAATGACCAATAACATACTGTTGATTGTTGTGTGGAAACAATTACTGAAACAGAGTGTCATTTCAGCATGCCAATGCCCTCTCTTGTTTTGAAAACCACAGTCAAAATTATATCATCCTAATAATGTAACTATTATACACATTATCAACATTTCCATTGTCAAGGTAACCCTCATCTCCTTTAGTAGATAAAAATCTTAATTCTCTTCACTTGTTTCCTTCTCTTTCTCTCTCTAGAGGTGATGGCGGGTCCAAGAAGGAGCTGATAGCTACAGCTAAGCAGATTTCAGAGGCCTCCGAGGAGGTGACTAAGCTAGCTAAGAAACTAGCCCAGGAGTGCACAGACAAGAAGATGAGAACAGTGAGTTGAAGGACAATGTGAATTGTATTACTTATTGTTATTGTTACAGTTGGTTAATGCACGTCCATTATATCCTGCCTTTGTTCTGGTCTCATATCAGTGTCTATTTGAAACAAATTTTTGGCAGTTACATATTTAAATTTGCTTTTTCTTAAAGATGCAACAATATATTTGAAACAGGTGTCATCTGTCAGTAGAAAAATATCGAAAAATTATTTGAAAAAAAAAATAGCTCTTTTGTAAAATCACATGCAAAAAATTTATATGGCAATTACAGCATTTTTCTTTTTCATCTTTCATATAAAATCTCTTCTTTCAGAATCTCCTCCAAGTGTGTGAGAGAATCCCCACCATAGGTACCCAGCTGAAGATCCTGTCCACTGTAAAAGCTACCATGTTAGGAGCACAAGGTAAGTTCAGTGGATGAATAGAACTGCTCTAAGCTTAAGGCACAATGCACTCTTTTAAATAACAAGATGGAAATAAGGTTTTAACAGGTGTGGTTTATAGATGTTTCAGATTTAAGAAGAAGGCTTGATATTCATCCACTCACTTTTACAGGTTTGGGTAAATCACAAAATTTACCTTTTATTATCAAAACCACTTTTTAGTCAACAATTGCTGACAAGAAAAGGCAGTAAATATTTTTTGCAGTTTTTTTAATTATGCTTTGTTGGGGTGATGAGCTACCATTAAAAATAATAATAAGGTGGTGGTGCCAACTGAAATGGCCAGAGAATAATGCTTAAAAACATTTTATGCCAAATTTCTTGCAATCTCCGTGTCAGCCAATTATTCTCATAACACTCATTTTATTCCAAGATATGGACGACTTAACTATTGGCATTAGTGATCATTAATGATCACTTTCTGCACGAAATTCTGTCTGAGGATATTTTTAATGATATGTCTGCAAATGGTGATAATCTTCTTATTTAGGTGTAAATCCTTTTTTCAATCTCATAATCCTAACATTCTTTGGGAAACAGAGATTTTTTGTCTACATTGCCAAACATGATAATTCAAAAGTTAATCTACAGACACTTTTTACCGACATNTCTCCCAAAAATGCTTATTACATAATATATTGACATTTATAACTGATGATCAAAATGATGATGTTGAGAAAAATTGTTGATAACGCCAAGACCATTCATCTTTTATGTGATCAAAACCTTTTGTTTGATCCCAACAGCATTCCATCTATACTTTTTCTGATATGTGATATTTTAAACTTAGAATTTCTCAACCCTTTTAGATACACGTTTGTACCGACTATGATGTAAAATGGCATGGTCTCTCTCTCTCTACAGATGGCTGCCCATGCTCTACATAGGGAAGTCAAACAATGGTCCAGTAAAGACAATGAGATTATCGCTGCAGCTAAAAGGATGGCAATGCTTATGGCGAAGCTCTCTCAGCTTGTCAGGTTAGTGACATAAGCACTAAAAAAAAAATGTACTCGTTTTGGATGCTTTTACATCATCATTATGTGTTAAGAGCAAGCTATATTCCCCTTAGTGTAAATGTTACACATCAGTAATGTTATCAAAGATACTTTGTTATTGCCGTTTAAATAATTTAATGTTTGCAGATGATGTGGAATAGTGGTGGATAAAAGCTTTCTTATATTAATGAACATTTGTGAATACTTGTTGATGACTGATCCTTTTCAGTTCAGTGATTTTCAGCTTCTAAAGTTTTTTTTGTAAGTGAAACATCGTGCACATCAAGAACAATGACCAATAACATACTGTTGATTGTTGTGTGGAAACAATTACTGAAACAGTGTGTCATTTCAGCATGCCAATGCCCTCTCTTGTTTTGAAAACCACAGTCAAAATTATATCATCCTAATAATGTAACTATTATACACATTATCAACATTTCCATTGTCAAGGTAACCCTCATCTCCTTTAGTAGATAAAAACCTTAATTCTCTTCACTTGTTTCCTTCTCTTTCTCTCTCTAGAGGTGATGGAGGGTCCAAGAAGGAGCTGATAGCTACAGCTAAGCAGATTTCAGAGGCCTCCGAGGAGGTGACTAAGCTAGCTAAGAAACTAGCCCAGGAGTGCACAGACAAGAAGATGAGAACAGTGAGTTGAAGGACAATGTGAATTGTATTACTTATTGTTATTGTTACAGTTGGTTAATGCACGTCCATTATATCCTGCCTTTGTTCTGGTCTCATATCAGTGTCTATTTGAAACAAATTTTTGGCAGTTACATATTTAAATTTGCTTTTTCTTAAAGATGCAACAATATATTTGAAACAGGTGTCATCTGTCAGTAGAAAAATATCGAAAAATTATTTGAAAAAAAAAATAGCTCTTTTGTAAAATCACATGCAAAAAATTTATATGGCAATTACAGCATTTTTCTTTTTCATCTTTCATATAAAATCTCTTCTTTCAGAATCTCCTCCAAGTGTGTGAGAGAATCCCCACCATAGGTACCCAGCTGAAGATCCTGTCCACTGTAAAAGCTACCATGTTAGGAGCACAAGGTAAGTTCAGTGGATGAATAGAACTGCTCTAAGCTTAAGGCACAATGCACTCTTTTAAATAACAAGATGGAAATAAGGTTTTAACAGGTGTGGTTTATAGATGTTTCAGATTTAAGAAGAAGGCTTGATATTCATCCACTCACTTTTACAGGTTTGGGTCAATCACAAAATTTACCTTTTATTATCAAAACCACTTTTTAGTCAACAATTGCTGACAAGAAAAGGCAGTAAATATTTTTTGCAGTTTTTTTAATTATGCTTTGTTGGGGTGATGAGCTACCATTAAAAATAATAATAAGGTGGTGGTGCCAACTGAAATGGCCAGAGAATAATGCTTAAAAACATTTTATGCCAAATTTCTTGCAATCTCCGTGTCAGCCAATTATTCTCATAACACTCATTTTATTCCAAGATATGGACGACTTAACTATTGGCATTAGTGATCATTAATGATCACTTTCTGCACGAAATTCTGTCTGAGGATATTTTTAATGATATGTCTGCAAATGGTGATAATCTTCTTATTTAGGTGTAAATCCTTTTTTCAATCTCATAATCCTAACATTCTTTGGGAAACAGAGATTTTTTGTCTACATTGCCAAACATGATAATTCAAAAGTTAATCTACAGACACTTTTTTACCGACATGAAAGAGTTACAGACAGTCATACTACTTTAATGTATTTTGAACTTATCCAGAACCAATTGCAGCTCCAGATGGGAGTGAGATAGCTTGTGGTAAATATACCTCACATCAGTGCATGTCAAGTTGAAACTATAGAATTGTTGTATTAATTAGGAGACATGCTACCAAGGAATTTTTCCACTGTTTTGCATGTTTGACAGCTTCCAGGAAGTTGTGACATCCCACAATCCATTGCACCTGGATGGTGTTCTGCATCTTGGTAACAGTTGAAATATCAAACAAATCCATAAAAATTAAGACCCGACAAATATCTAATCCTCAACCCTAATATTAAATCCTGGTTTGAAGTTTGGAGAATAAACTAACATTTTTTTATGTGCATATTATGAGACATTTTATGTATAACATAGGTATTGGGGCTATACCAATATTTTAACTTCTGTATATGTTTTAATTAGAATTGATTATGAATATTGTTTTGACATCCCCCAAAGCTTGAATTTAGACCCATTTAAGCTATTGTAAGTAAAAGATAATTTGCTACATCTGCCTGAATAAAAAATGTTTTCTGTCACAATGACCAATCATTGAGCCATAGGATACCTTAATTTGCCAGTAGCAGATTGATTGCCACAGTATTGCTAGTGTTTTTTCAAACAGCACGTGCATTTTGGCTTATTATCCAAGCTTGGGGTGGAAATGTAGTGCTCTTGCTTTCTTCATCTAATCCTTCTGTTTTGCTTCCTCCTGCCAACCTGGGAGTGCAGAATCCAGTAAGTTGAACTCTTTTTTCCTATCTGAATATAGACACTTATATATAGTTTAACACTTCATCCTATCTGGTATTTGTAGTTTGTGTTTGTTCTTTGTAAAGATGACGCTACATCAGTTACAGGTGATGGGAAAATTTCCAGGTCTGCTTTGAATGAAATGACTAATGAGTATGGTGCTGTAAGCAGCTTCTGATTAGATCTGATTTTCAGTGCCTAATGTTAAGCTTTTTTTTCTTAGTTGATTATGTCAGTTTAATGAAATGTTGCACCCTCTGTACTATAACATATATAATAATGATATCATTTAGCAAATACTTCAAAGATTCTCAAGATTATATTAGAAGAATGTTTTGATTTATTTCAAATCTTTTCAGTTGAATAGTATATCTTCCTTATCCAGTGCCTGACTGCTTGTGCAATTAATCTGTGTTTATTAATGATCGATATGTTCTTTCATTCAATTCAATTTGGCATTGGCTTTCTAATTTTGTGTGATGAAATAAATTGTAATGCTATTGCTGATCCATTATGCCAACTGTAGGCTACCAATAGAAATCCTTCAACACTTCATTTCCTGAAAATAAGTTCAGTTTTCAGGGATTAGGCTTCCCTGCTTTACACTTGACATAACTAATTATATGAGAGGAAATCCCTTTTATGTACTAATACAGCAGCGCTCATTTTTGCAAGTGCACAGTATTTTTATCTCAATATTTTAACTGAACATTTAATAGTTTTTTTTTTAATTTTTATTTTTTTAATTTAAAAAGCTGCTCCTTTTTAAAGCTAATAGACTGACCATGGTATCAAGAAATGTTTTAACTATTTAATTTGACTGGAAATTAGCACATTAGCTGAGTGAATCAATTAAGTTGTTGAAAAATTTGATGATCAAACTTTGATTTCTCAGATTCAGTGAAACATAGTCCCCGAAATATAAGTAAGAAATGGTGTGAAGTGTTACTGCTCTGAAGTTTGATTTAATGATGTCTTTCTCCCATCATATGATGTTTGTGATGTTGACATTCTGGATTTAAAAAAACTAAGAAAATCCAATCTTCAAAACTGTATTCATTGTTTTCAGTCGTTCTCTTTTTTTTCCATAGAATCCCATTTGTATTGTCCACTGTATTTCTCATTAGTTGGAGTAAAGTGCATGCTTAAATACTCATCTTGGTTGTCCTGTAATCTTGTATTTCTAACGACAAATTTTGAGGGTGATTTTGGACTGGTTATCTCTGTGTGTCAGCTGGCTAGTATTTGCCATCTCATGGGATATGATGCTAGTTCTGGTCAGGAAATTCAATTTCTGATCTGTCAGATTTTCTTATTTGTGCTCTAATATTTTAACTGTATGTAGATGAATAGTAATACTGTTGCTGATTTTATTCCCCCTTTTTCAGCAGATGTTTTTTTAGACATTGTAGGGAAAATGTTAAAATTTAAATTGCAGTTGTACACTAATTTTATGGCTAGTTTATTTTTGGTCCTACCAATTATTTTCTTTTGGAGGAACTTTTTCTATTAAGTGTTCTTTTTAAATTTATTATTGCTATATAATTTACATATTTTAAAACATGAGCCTTTTGTGTAGTGTAGTCTAATTCATAGTTAGTAGGAAACATGCATGGTGCTTGGAATCTAGCAAAATTTTCATAATTGTCATCATGTCACCTTTTTTCATTTTTTATTTATTTATCTATTTATTTATTTATTTATTATTATTTTTTTTTTGTGAAAAATTTAATATCTAAAAATTTATTTCATTTGTGTTATAAAGACAAGTATGACATTATATGACATGATGTTATACACATTGCCTTTATTTTCTTTTTCTCTTTATTTTTTTTTTTTTCTGCTTTTGGTAAGAAATGTACATCGTATTATGAAATGTGTGTTTCAGGTTCAGAAGAAGACCAGGAAGCCACAGAGATGCTGGTGGGCAATGCACAGAACCTCATGCAAGCTGTGCGCGAAACAGTGCGTGCTGCTGAGGCTGCCTCCATTAAGATACGTGTTGATTCTGGCTACTCCATGCGCTGGGTACGACGCAGTCCATGGTATGCAACGTAAGAAACGAAATTGAGGGTCTCACTGATTGCTGTTGAACCTTGGCTGGAAAGACATTTGACTGATGCACCAACTTAGAACTGCTGTAGACAATGGTTGGAATGATAGAGTTTCTGTAGATATTTTAGAATTCTACCTTGTAGTAAAGGAGAATGATATGTGATTATATTATATTATATTTTATTGCCTACAAGTGCATATACATACTGTCTTATATACAAGGGCCATTTGATATAATTTTTTAAAAACATGTTGATTAAAATCTGGTTTTCAGATGTTAATTGGAGCATAATTTTATGCAAGCTTTCTGTATCTAACTATATATATGCAAAATACTGAAAATAGTATTTTATATGTTAACGGTAAGAAAAAAAGCCAGTTGTACTTTAGGGTAAAATCATTAGAAGAAAAGTCTCACTCTAAAAAGAATAATTGAATTTAAATGGACAGGTGATTATATAAAGAAGACTTGGGTGAGGATGTGTTTTGTGCTTTCATTCGTGCACAATGGTCCATTGGGAAGTTAATTAAATTGTATCCATTAAATTTTCAACTGTTGGCAGCCAAAGGTAACAAGTTGAAGGTTGGCAAGTTCTTGGTCTTCGAGGTAATAGAACATGTGTTGCTATATGGTGTAAAAGTACATTTACTGCTAAAAAAGGATATTAATCGGCCGAAAGCTTTATATTATGTGGAATAATGACATGTAACTGCCTAACATATCTTAAGATATATTGGTCTACCAGCTAGTCACTGCTTTCATATTTATGTGGTTTAATTACAAAAGATAGAACAGCAAGCTTTAGGAAATATAACATTTTCTTTCAGTGGTCTTCTAAGCTTTGGTTTCTTCTGTAACTGTGTCTGAAGTAGCCATCTAATTGAATTGTATAATGAAAACTAGGAAGTGATAAAAAGTCAATGAGAGGATGTTAGTAATTTCTATTAAATTAAAAAGCATTTTAAGTATTTGCAATGACAATAACTTATCAATTAAATTTTTGACATTTGTTTGATGTATTCATTAGTGAAATCAATCTCCCTTATGCAAATAGAGTTTTGTGGAATTCACTAAAAAGAAATGAAACTTGAGCAAGAAGAGTCAATTTGTTACATTGTTTGAAATGCTTTCAAGGCAGCACGTGGTACTATTTTTTCATAGCAGATGGCTTTTTTTACATTTGCATCTGTTCTGCTCTAGCGTTCTGCCCTAGTGAAACATAACCACTGACATTACATATCGAGTACTGTATGATCTATTCTAAATAATTTTGAAACACTTTTCTCACAAAAAATTAAAAACTTTTAAAAAATTACAAACTTTTGTCACAAAATTGAAAACAATGTTTTGGGGACCATTTTCATGTAGATTGTTTGGATGAAAAGTTCGATTTAGAGAAAAACTGTAGAGCTTCTATAGAAATTCTAGCACATTCTGTTTGTTTGAATTTATGTGACTCGTCTATAGAGATCTAACATCATCTGGGAACTGATTAACCAAGAACATTGCTCTTGGAAGATATATCAGTTCATGTGGCGCATAATGGATTACAAGGTGCCTGGACCTTTGTGCCGGAATCTGCACTTAGTTTGGCTAAGAATTGATTTACATGATTTTGATTAAGAGATTTCAATTAATCTGGCTGAGTTGCGATGGCTATAGATTCGGCTGATATCATGGTGATTAAAAAGCTTTGATGAAATGGTATTTTACCATTAGGTATCAGACTGGGTCTGAATGCTTTTCTTAGCTTGTCAGTAAAAGACAAAGGGTCTAGACTGATGAAAATAGATGTCTGATTTCCTTGAGTTTTGTGCCAATGTAATGAAAGTTACTCCACACATTAGTGTCTTACAGGGCATTTATTGAAAATTAAGATTTGAGTAAGGAAATTTTATACTGAAATGTGATCATGAATTTGTATATTTGAATTTGCACTGACTATGCCTTAATCTATTTGAACTTACTAGACAATTCATATACCATTGTTATTATTATAAAAATATCATATTAATTTTTAAGACGTATCTTACAGCTTATGCACTGTAGCTCATATGAGTATATATTATAAATTATGATCCATGATAACCTGTATATTTAGGATTGTTATGCAATAAACATTTGCTTTGAAAGTACTTTTTTGTCACTGTTGGTGGGTTAACATGCATGTATATATAGGTGCTTGTACACACGCAAACACACACATTTAAAAAAAAAAAGGAGAGGGTAAAGATCTTCTGGTCCAAAGTTTTAATAAAGAGCACTTTGATAGTGTCAAATGCCTTGCTTATCCCTTTAAGTTCAAAATAGTTGTTCAAAAATGAACAAAAAACAATGTTTATCATGCCATAAATGCAACTTAAAGGCTTTGGATCTTAAAAACATGATGAACCAAACCTATTAGAAATTTTTTCTTTCCCTTTTTTTCTGAAGGTGGGGGAGTAGATTTAGTATTGTACAAACAACAAGATTAATGTACCTTACTGAACAGAAAATCAATTCCTTGACAGATTATTTCCTAGCTCAGGTACTGTTGTAAGAAATCCAAGACTAAAGGGAAAAAAAGGTCTTCTCTGTTAGAGTTATTTTTACATCTGCATTAGACCCATTAATTGCTTGTTCAGTATGGCCAGTTTGGATTCTGCTATCAGATATACATGTTATCTACATCCCACGCCCAGCTTTACATGGGCTCTTCTAGCTCACTCCCCCTTTGAGAATATGCTGCATCACAAATCTTCTTTTATCCTGCTTTACAACAGTGTTTTGATGTGTACACCATTGAGGCATAATTGATCAAAGTGTTTTATGAGGGACAAAAAATATTCGAGCTCACGTCACACATTGTTTATGAAGTTCATCTAAAAACAGATTTAAGTTCCAGGAACATGAAAATATGCTTTCAAATGCTCTCACTGGTGTCATATTTTACTTGGGATGCTTTTATTGTAAATCTTTGGTTTTCTATGGTACTTTGGTTACAATTTAAAACTGTCTAATGTAATTTATTAGAGTGAAAGAAATGAAAGTTCTTAAAGGATTTTTTTTGGAGGGGGGGGAGGAAATTCTTTGAAAATTTATTTCTCAGAAGAGGCTTTTGTGACATAAGTACAGTTTATATGGATTTTAAAACAGAACATGATACAGTAAAAAATACCATGTTTCACAAATGTTTGACTGAATAAAAAATACAAAATATGACATAATTAAGAAGCAAGTGAGCAGACGGCACTCAGATGGAGAAAGGTGTGAAATGAATACTATGCCTCTGGGTTGGATACTCAAAGGAGACTACAGTGAGAGTTGAACTCCAAGTGACTTGGCCTGACCACCTGATCACATTGTTTAACTTAGCTTTGCAGGAAAACTGCGGCAGTATAGAGAATATGTTGATCTTCATTTAAGAACAGCATGCCCAATCTTGCAGGTATTTGTCAGAAAGGTACTACAGCCACTGTGGCATATCCTGGATTTTGCTAAGAAGGGGGGAGGGGGGGGAGCACAAGAACAAAAACATTGTTAAAGGGAAACAATTCATTATGTGAGATCTATATTTCACAACAAATACATTGTTAACAACACGTTGAAATATAATATATTCTATTTTACCACAAAATCGACAGTAATAGCAATAAATCTGAAATATGTGCTTGCCAACCGACCACGTGACCTCCATAGATGGCTATACTCTGTAATAATCTCTTAAGAGATTATTACAAAAGAACAAACTTTTTAGAAAAAAACCAGGGACTAACTTTGAATGTTTAAATGGATTCATTCACCATTGGTAAGTATGGGAAAATTGCTGTTTACCCCAAGAAAATTCATTTTTTGGCCAAAATGAACAGTTGTTATCCCTTTAAGTGAAGTGAACCGAATATAAAGCAATAGCATTAAAATGTGTGGGACAGAGTGATTTTTTTTTTTTTTTTTTTTTGGGGGGGGGGGGATTGAAAAGAAGGGGGTTGCTCCTGAAGCCTCTTGGGTAGGAATTTGGGGGGTGACTTGCCCGCAGGGTGCTCTGGCTCTGACGCTGGTACACGTAATCACAAAATAATCTAAGATGATTGCTATATGACAAGATAAAATCTTTCAATTTTTCTTTTGAGAATAATTTTTCTAAGTGTATAAAATTATTGGTTTATCAATATATGAATCAGTTAATTTGGCACTATGAATCTTTGCCTTTAAATTATTTTGAAAGAAAAATATGTTCAAAGAAAAGTCAAAGAAACATCTGCAATTTGAATAGGAGTAGGTGAATATCTTGAATTGTATTAAATAAAAAGTCTGCATGAGTTTTCATAATCACTTTTTACATAATCACTTTTTTGTTAAGCTATAATTCTATCATTTTTCCCCAAAGAATTTACTATATTTTCATCCAACTACCTATAGTTGAGAGATATTAAAAGCCTCATTTGCATTCAGAGGATCTTGGTGCTGGGGGCACACTGATTACCTTGGTGGCTGTAACTAATAGTCTGACCATAGAATGCATGAATACCAAGACAAAGACCAGATCGGGATACATTTGTTATATTGTTACATTATGTTATATTATTTTTCTGTAAGTTTCAGTATTTCTGCAGTTAAGTGGCAAATTTTCATTTAAGTTTTATTGAGCTTGTTAGGTCCACTGAGATTACTATGGTTTAGTTACCAGCAATTTTACAATTTTGTGTAAAAATTATGCAAGGACTAAACTGAAAGATAAAGTATTATGTAATCCATCTGGAGGCTGGGAAAACAGAGTGGTTTTACAACACACATTTGCTAAAATAATTTCAATCAGTTTGGTAATGATTAAAGGCTTGAAATTTTCTTTTTCTTTTTTGCCACGAGTTTACAAGAAATGAGAAAATATGTATGAAGTAAACATAACATTTTTATGTCACGGCTAAATTGTTAAAATATGGAGCTATGGTAACTATAGGCTTTGCAGTTATTCATTAACCAGTGATTAACTGGTGTAGCCTGGGAAAGAGTTCCAGAGCAGTCGATAATTGGATCTAATAGAAAATGGCTTGTTTCATGTAAATCTAATCATGGCTGACTTACACTGGAAAAGATCAAGGTTGCATGAGTAATGATACTGTTATGGCCTGTTAAAAGCATAGCGTCATTCGTTAAGGAGAACATGTCATTGGAAAATATCTTCTGGTCATTTGGTAGACAGTGAATTATGAAATGTTTCTTAATCTTTGGGAGAAACTGAATATCAGATAATCTAAAATCAGAAATGGTGATTTCATGGGTGGGGGAAGGGGGGGTGGAAAGAAGACTGATTTGTACTTTTTTTAAGCTTACTCCAAAAATTAGCTATATCTAGATACCCCCCCCCCCCCCAATACTGTAATGTCTTCCTTATATAAAACATTCCAACCTGTCCCTTACAGTGTAAAACTCCTTCTTGCATATATTCATAATTTGCTGCTTGACAAGAAGTTGTGAATATATGACATGCAGGCTAAAAATATTATTTGGTACAAGCAGTAATTAGGCTGCTCTTCTAAAATTTCATTTCAGATATCATAAAAGCCAAATAAGGAATGTCACTTTTAGATAAATTGCCAGATTACTATTACCTTGAAGCCTTAATTATTAATAAATTTTGGGGTATTGCTGACTAGGATGTGAAAGTGATCAAAACAGGAATGAAGTAATGAGAAAAATACCACTGGGACATGAATTTTGAGAGATAACTTGGTGACAACTGTAGTATTTCAAGTTGTATTTTTTTCAGTTAATTCGAGATCAATAATCCCACTAAGCACATTTCATCCAACAGAGAGCAGGAGAGTATCAAGAGATTGAAAGACTGTTGTAAAGCTTGCATCCCAACCGCTATGTTTTTTCATCAAACGTGTCTAGTTCCCAAATAATATATTCTGAAATAACTGAACACATATATTTGTACTGCTCTTAGAATACAAACTGTTACAGGTTAGGCGTGCCCTCAGCTCATAAACTCCTGGCACTTTCCTCCCTGGAGACAGGTTTTCCATGAAATCTAAACACGATCAGGTCACCTGCCTATGGTGCAAATAACAAAGCATTTACATTATGTCTATGTTGTCGTGGCCCTGTCTTCTGTAGAGATTCACCTGTGGGAATTTGAGCTATTCAGAAAGTGCATCTGCAATATTAATGCAGATCACATAAACAGACATAATGGCCCAAAGTATATCATGCTTTGACCCAGAGATCAAATATACGTGGATATTTATATAGTTGGCTAGATCAGAATGTTCACTAGATCAGAATGTTCACTAGTATAACATTTTTTTGTCATTTAGGGTATTCTTTTATTGATTAGTCTTAAAGCCATAAAATAATAATAAAGCCTACACTTATTTATAAAAGCCTATACACATCAATAAAAAATTACTTACATTACTTATTGTCATTTCATCATGTTTGACATGATATTTTTTCATTTTGATATTTTTAATCTAAAGGCTATTGGAATAGTTTCCTATATCATTCACCTGATGTTCAAGTCATTGGATATTCAAGTTAATTGGTTTCTATGATTGAAAAAAAAATACTACTTAAACCATAAATTTATTGAATAAAAATATAAGAAATAATGACAGGGATGACAATTACATAGCAAAAGTTTAAGGATCCTGAATTAACCGGTATATCGGACCACACTCTCCCTTTTCAAGGTGTGTGTCAGATCACATTTCGGAGTATCAGTCAGAACACCGACAGGATGAGCCCACGGTCGTACTACAAAATTTGTTCTGGGGTATGATACTCCGAAATGCGATCTGACACACACCTTGAAAACGGGGAGTGTGGTCCGATATACCGGTTAATCAGGATCCTTATGTGCCGAGTCTGGTAGTTGGGTAGGCCTGAATTCTTTATTGTCAAAACTAATAGGATTGAACCACCCTTTTGTTTTCAATTATAAATGAACAATTCCACATAAGAAAGTTACAGAAGTGAGATTTGAATTCTATGAGATTTTGTCACTTCTGGGGACCTATAAGATGTTGCACAACATGACCATAGCTGTCAACATGGTTTTCTTCTTGGTTTCTGGGTGTACACCAAAGTAGCAGAGAAAAGTGTTTCTTTTTTGGGCTTTTTTTTCGTTCC